TTTGACCCTAATGTGAAAGGTTAAGGCCAGTGGTGAGATTCAGCCAGTTCGCACTACTTGGGGAGAACTGGTTGTTAACCTTCTGAGCAGTTTGGTGAACTGGTTGTTGGAAGAGATCATTAGGGCAGAGAACCGGTTGTTAAATTATTTGAATCCCACCACTGGTTAAGGCTACTCATACAGCTGAGTTAGCTAAGGTACAGTATGCTACTTGAAGTCACACAGAATGACTTTTACCAGCCTTATTATTTTCATCAAGAAAAATTGTGAACTCTCCCTATACTCAAAAACTCTTGTGAGGGCTTTTTCTCACAACTAGCTCTCTACTTCCATATGGAAAAGCTGAATCTTGTATTCATTGCCCAATTCCTTGAATAGCCTGCTGAAAAGACACATGCTCAAAGCCCCCTATTTTGATCATATTTGCAATTCCCACAGTTTGTTTTAGCAATGAACCGTCTACTATTTTTGTTTTTAAGCGTCAACTGTTTTCTGAAATATGCAGGGTGTGGCCTGCATATTCAGATATGGCTTTTTCACAAGTGTAGCAATACCCTCCCTTATTTATGCATACTGGTGTTCCATCAGTGCTGTAAGATAGTGGTTTTCAAACTGGGCAATTTTAAGATGAGTGGACTTCAACTCCCAGAATTCCCCAGGCATGCAATTTTTTTTGAAACCAGAGAAGCTAGTAGCCGCACTGGCGAATTCTGAAAATTGGAACCCACGCATCTTGAAGTTGTCAAGTTTAAAAAGCAGTGCTGTAAGAGATGGTGCAAAAACTTGGGAATAATGGAAGAAATGCTGACAATAAACAAATAAGAGATAATTTGTTTCTGAACAAACCTGCCAAATTTTTTAAGATCATGTACCATATCAGGTCTTCTGCAGTCATGACATAAGCCTAAGACTGAAAATCAGGCTTGTCAGATGTTACATCTTTTCTATCCTGCTCTGCGGAGTAGAGGGGTGGTCTCTGACAGAAAATCACTTGAAGAAACTAGAAGCATTTGAAATGTGGATTAACAGACGGCTGTTACGTATAAACTGGGTTAACAAAATCACAAATGAGGAGGTGATAAGCCGCCTGGGAAAGCAAAGTGAAATAATCAAAGCCATTAAAAAATGAAAGGTAGAGTATTTTGGACATGAGATGCGACACCCAGAAAAATACAGCATCCTTCACTTAATCCTCCAGGGAAAAATTGAAGGCAAACGAGGCCCAGGCAGAAGAAGAACATCATGGCTTCAAAAACCTAAGGGACTGGTTTGGAAAAAACTCAGCAGCACTTTTTCATATGGCTGTTGACAAAAATAGGATTGCCAACATGATCGCCAATGTCCGATGACGGACATGGCACAAGAAGAAGAAGAAGAAGAAGTACCATATCTATAAATTTGACAATAAAAATTTATTAAATAAATCTGTGAAGTTTGTACCTTGAGAAGTGCTTATCCCTATAGTATACAATTCTTCTAAACGACACATCATATCTCACAAAACAGTGAGTAACAAAACCAAATATCATTTCTGGGTTTCCAGGGATAAGCTTATCAGTTCCCCACTGTGGATTTTGTATGAGAAAAAGGGGGGAATTTTCTCAATAGCTCATCCCACCTGTTCTTCCTATATTTGTTACATACTTGACAATTGACTTTTCAACTTTTTATCTACAGGTAATGGTACATTTACCGACTTTTGTTATGAGCAATGCAACTCCACCCTTGGCAGCAAATATTTTTGCTTTCCAATTGGCATTTGCTTTCCAATCCATTCCTTTGAGAATACCACCAAAACATTGAAGGGTTCTTGGTAGACACATCCATGCTATAGCGAGTGAAATCAATTAATTTCAAGTAAAGGATGTTTTAAGTAGTACTATTTCTTGCCAGCAAAAATTAGATCAGCGTCAGTGGGATGCAATCAGTGTGCTCTTGACTGATAATTGGCAATTACCATCAGAAAACAAGTTAGTTCAGCAAAATTTCATGTTAAGGTATGAGGTTTTTTAAAACCCAATTTGCACTTTTTTTAGTTGAATGCATGAGATCATAGTTCCACTTGGTACACTCATGTGGAGTTGCTGTAGTTAAACACGCCTGAAATCTTTTCATTATTGTTGTTTCTGAGTGTTAGTTGCTAGTTATATTATCTTGTATATTCTTCAATGAACCGGTTTTCAGCCAATGATTAATTTTTGTGGTGCAATAACAACGACCCTTGGCTGATTTGGCCAACTGACTGGCATTGTATCCAGGGATATGGTACCAAGACAGTGAATGGCATGATACAGTGACAGGAGTTGAGGCAGTGAGAAGGATCTGGCAGAGAAATATGGGAGGCAGACCACCTGATAAATCTACTGAATTCAAACCAGAATGATCTGCAGACTGTAGTTTGAGATCCAGTACCTCCGTTCCATGGAATACCAGGTTGTGGAGTTGAGCTGCCAGATATTGGGATAGGCAGTTATCTGTCAAATATTCTATACCACCCCCAGTGCATGTCAGTTATTTTGGGGGCTAGTTTTAAAAATGGGTTTAGTGCTCTTCTGAAATAGGTGGTTCCAAAATCTTCAGTAAAACTAATGTATGTGTACAGTACATACACTTAAAGTCTGGCTAATCAATAACATACAGTAAACCTTAAGTAGAGGACAAGGAAGTTCTTCCAATTAATGTGCTTATTTGCTTCAAAACATAGGTACAGAACAGCTGTGCTTTGGTTTAGTTGAATTCACATGAGGGTTTCTTGAACAGTATTGGAAACATGTGGATGCACTCTAAAAAATAATTTGCTGTTCAGATATGTTTTTTTAAATTCCTCTATTCTTAGAAATCAAAGGAAAGGGATGTCTAATGTTAGCTTGTTTGAGCACTACTGTATTTCCACAAGTTTGGTTAATATTATACAGCAATAGCATATCAGACATAAATCCATCCTTGATAGTTGGAATAATTTTCAAAGTTTCATCTTGATTTTAATTCTCCAGAAGGAAGCAGTATTTGATGCTTTAAGGAAAGAAATTTGTTTTTGAATGGGATCCCTGGCCCATATAATCCAGCAATCTGTTTTCACAGTGGTCAATCAACTGCACAAGGAAGCCCACTGGTCTCCCAGTAGATGGCTTTAAGAGGGACTCACACTGCCATGAAAGCTACTATACACTGATCATCTTGACTTTGATAAATTGGGCCAACTATCTTATGAAACCAGGAAAGCTAGGAGCAGGGGTGAAATGCTACCAGTTCGCTCCAGTTCGGGCAAACCGGTAGCAATAAAAACTACTGGTTTGGGAGAACTGGTAGTAAAAAAATAGCTACCGGGTCAAACAGGTAGTTTAAAAAAGCTACGATCCGTGATTACCTGTGCCGTGCAGTTTAGCTTTGCTAGAAAGCAGAAAACAGCTGCAGCTGATCCCCCCCCCTCGCTGTTCTACTTACCTTCCCAAGCCTTCTTTTGGCGTGTACTGCGCATGCAGTAGAGTATAATTTAGCATAGCTAGCGAACTGGTTCAGATTTCACCCCTGGCTAGGAGCCAGCACTTTATTTCATGTTAGGGAATTCCATAGTTGTTTTGAAAAAATCCTTTTATCTGTCCTGCTTTTTTGTCCAGGATTCATATTCAAAGATTGATTGTTGTGGTCTTAATGCCTTAAAATGTCCTAATCAACCATGTCCTCAAAGGGATGGCATTATCGGCTGTTATTTATTTCACAAGTAATCTCTTTGGATGAAAAGGTATTTTGCTTCATGAGAGTCAGCCAAATATTCTTCTATGCACATTTGAAAAAAAAGGATCCTTTTTTTAATCCATCAGTGCTTGGAAATATCAGAGTAGTAACCCTCTGTACATGTATAGTACTGGCCAGATTTTGGCAGAAAGGTGAAATTATTCAAGATTTGTGTAGTAATTATGAAGCTTTGGCCCTACAGAATTAGGTTAGCTCTCATATTGCTGGCTTTTGGACATACACTAAAGAAGTTTATTCTTTCACAAGGCTTTCAGTGATTAACGAAGAAACTATTACAGAGTAAATTTAATAATATAGATGCAATTACAGTATTGGATTTAGAGACTTTGCCTGAGCCAAGCTAAATGGCTTTCTTCTTCCTTCACCTTTCTTTTGTTCTATCATCTATCACTATTATTGGCTTTTTGCTGTCCATATGAATACTGTAGTATAACAGTATAATTTACATATATATATATATTTAAAATGTTTGCTGATGTTCAGTGATCAACAGATAGAATTTAAAACAAGTTTTTCACCCAAAGTTCACAAAGCAGAGTCTTCACAATTCTTACCTATGATGTAACCAAATTACAAAAAATGGCTGAGACAGCTGTAGTACAAGGACAGAAAAACCTGTTTTTATTGCACTGGTTTTATTACTGCTTTAAAACCAGATAATGGTATTCAGATAAGGACTGAGAAGAAAGATAAGTCTTTGGCAGCAAACCAATACAAAAATCTGTACAGGTAATTCCTCTAAATTCAACAAGATTACTTCTAAGTTCTGGCATTAATTAAATAATCTATTTGGCAGGCAATGAATATCAGTTCCAGGCAAAAAAGAAAATAATGCTGTAGTTATACAACTGTTTTAAACCGAGGATCTATAAATATCTCTGAAGGTTGTTTACTTGTACTCTTTGGTTTTACCAAATGTAAAATGTATTTCAGAAAGTCTAATGATCTTCCTTCTGGATATTTATCTAAACAAGATGGTGAGATTGGAAGGTACTGCATTACGGTGCAGCACACAAACCTAAACTTACAGCATATAGACGTGATTTCCAACATCTCAAGTGTAGAATGGCCCTCTAAAAGTTCTATATATTCTTACTGTATCTATATGCAGAAGTATACTTAATGGAAAGTGTCTGTAACTCTTGGCCATGTTAAATGATACCTACAAGCGAAGTTGCTCTCTGGAGGGGAAAAAATTCTGCTAAATTGTAGACTTGTAGTGGAAAAGACTATAGACGTAAGTATTTAAAAATGTATATAGAGCATTTCATTTTATTAAAAACACATTAGATTTACAATAAAATGATCAAAAGAACGATAAGATACAGTGAAATAAGTTCATTAAAAAATGAAAGCCAAGGTAATTCTACTATTCTTGGTGTAGTAAAATTGAAGAAATAGTAGAAGTGCCAGAACAAAATGGTCTTTGTTGACAAAGTAAGAACCTGTCCAATTTCAGTGAGAGATCATTTCACATATAGATAGTCCTTGACTTACAACTGTTCATTTAGTAACTGAAGTTACAACAGCATTGAAAAAAGTGACCCTTTTTCATACTTACAACCATTGCAGCATTCCTGTGGTCATGTGATCAAAATTTAGAAGCTTGGCAACTGGCTCAGACTTATGACCGTTGCTGTTTACCAAGGTCACGTGATCACCTTTTGCAACCTTTTGACAAGCAAAATCAGTGGGGAAGCCGGATTCACTTAACAACCGTGTTACCAGCTTATCAACTGCAGTGATTCACTTAACAGCTGTAGCAAGGAAGATTGCAAAATGAAGCAAAATTCACTTAACAACTGTCTCACTTAGCAACAGAAATTTTGGGCTCAACTGTGGTTGTAAATCAAGGATTACCTGTAGTAGCCCCACACTGGAGAATTCTTCTGTCATATCATTACTACATGAGCATCAGCAGGTCATTATAGCACAGGAAGGAAGCCATCCCCTACAAAACTGTAAGTACAGTTGATTTAATAAAAAAAAAACATGGTTCCTAAAGACAACAAATGTTCAACAGTAATTAGTTTAATTTGGAAAGTTTTAAAATTGTTCTCCATTTCCTTCTGTGATATTTTACATAAAAGCAGACTGTATACGTTTTTATAGACAGTGTGTCTGCATTCAAGCAGTATCTAGAGACACAAAATCCCACTCAAACTTTCCTCCTGGTCCAGGTTTCATTTCGGGTTGCTTCTCTTTGTGCAGCAACAAAGCACAAAGCACACCAAGTCAGCTGATTCATAGAAATCTCCTAGGTGATAACAGAAATTCTAAAGTTAGTTATAATGAACAGATGTTAAAAAAACCCCACAGAATTCAACCACATTGATTACACTATCTATTAGCCAGTATCTTAGATCACTACCAAAGCCTTTTAAGAACTAGTGCCACGTATAGATTTGTAAGAAAGTACTTCATAATCAGAGACCAGTCAATATTTTTCCCAACAGTGGAACAAACAGGGATGTTTTCCCAGTTCCTAAATCAAAAAACCCAAGAAGGCTAACACAGTACTTCAAATAAGCAACATCAAGTGACTAATAGCCTTGAGATCAACCTTAATAGTGCTATGGATTTGGCTCAGAATCAAGTTGGCAACTACTACAGTTCTTTCAACTCTACTGTTGCTATTAGGTAACAAAAGTATTTCTGGATTGTTAGCAACTGCTTCCTCCATATAAAATGCACTCCATTGGTCCAAATGAAAGATTGCTAGAGGATCAATAAATAAGGATTGGCATTCTCAATCTAGGTTCAACCATAATCAGTGTGTTTGGCCAATGCTGGATGGACTCCATAAATGCTAGGCCTCCAGTGATAAAACTGGATCAAGGATGATACAGTAGTGGCCAAAATTGTGGAAACCTTTTATTTTAACCTTTGTATTTTTGAGGTTTGATGGCTAATAACACCACTTTTCTTTGGAGTTTCAATCATATTCCACTGCTGGAATGGCCTGGGAATAGCCCAGACCTTAACCCAATTGAAAATCCATGGAGTCGACTAAAGAAACTTGTTAGTCAGAAGCGATCCAGCAATAAAACCCAGTTAATAGGAGCAATCATTCAATTTTGGTTTCACATTATAGCAGCTGCAGAACTAAAAGACTTGGTTCACTCCAAGGGAAGACATTGTAAGGCCGTAATTCATGCTAAAGGTTACCCAACTATTGACATGGTGATAATTTTTGTATATCTAGTTTTTTCTATATGTTTCACTTTTCTTCTTTATACTGTAACTGCTATTCTAGTAGCAAATTCTTCATAAAAGTTATTGCATTACATTCTTGATTAAATTATCTTTCCATTGATATATAATTTTACGGTATTACTTCCCCCCCCAAAAAGTGATGTTATTAGCTAGTTTTAGAAAATACACTTTCCCCAAAAGGTCTCCACAATTTTGGCCACTATTGTACCTCTAGCATGTACACCTCCTTCAGAAAGAGTTTCCTATCCTCTTTCAGATCATGAGAACCACCCACTCAGCAGGACCTCCATCTTGTTAGATTTAAATTGCTTGGCAACATTTAACACATTATTGCCTCTAGACTGATCAAGCACATACACTCTTGGCTCAGAAGAGAAGAAAAAAGCTGAATATTATCTGCATATTGGTAGAACCTTGTCACCAAATACCTGATGATCAGTTCCAGCAGAGTCATACAGAGATTGAAACACATGGAAGACAGACTGAAATTTTATGATTAAAATGTTATTTACTGGTCTAGTTTTTAATTGAGTTGAAAGTTCAGGCTTTAAGCAGACATGGGAATATTCGGTATACTGTTGTACCTTCTTATTTCTCTACAACAAAGTACAGAAATGGCTTGCTTGAGTAACTGCTAGAGCGGTGATGGTGAGCCTTTTGGGCTCGATATGTCAAAAATTTAGAAAGTGCCTAACATGACTCTGCTGGCATGTCACCATCTCCCCCAATCATTGCTTTGTGCAAAATTTATTTTATTTATTGTATTTTATTTATATGCCGCCCTATCCGTAGGACTCAGGGCGGCTCACAACAATAAAATATCCAATTAAACATGTTAAAATATATGTTACCCCCCCAGTCCAGGTTGAACAACCATGTCTTTAAGTTGCGGCGGAAGGTGCGGAGGTCAGGGGCCAACCGGAGCCCCAGAGGAAGTTGGTTTCAGAGGGTGGGAGCACCCACAGAGAAAGCTCTACCTTTAGGGGTTGCCAGTCGACACTGTCTAGCCAACGGCACTCTGAGTAGGCCTTCCCTGTGAGAACGCACCGGGCGATAGGGAGCTGTTGCTGGTTGCAGATGGTCCGACAAATATCCTGGGCCTAAGCCATGAAGGGCTTTATAGGTCATCACCAGCACCTTGAATCTCACCCGGAGGGCAACCAATGCAAGTCGCGCAGGAGAGGTGTAACATGGGCGTATTGGGAACCACCAATCACGACCCGCGCGGCTGCATTCTGTACCAGCTGAAGTCTCCGGATGGTCCTCAAGGGCAGCCCTAGGTAGAGAGCTCCTGAACTGTTGTGCAACAAAAGCCTTCTGCAACAGCCAGGAAAAATGTGCTTGAAATAACCATCTAAGAATCAAAGCACATTTAACTGCATGTATTACTGCTTAAATTGATACCACTTGCAGCGAGTCCTGTTACACAGAAAAGTTTTTATAAGCAATAGCACTTAGACTTATATACCACTTCACAGTACTTTTACAGCCCTCTCTAAGCGGTTTACAGAGTCAGCATATTGCCCCCAACAAACTGGGTCCTCATTTTACCCACCTCAGAAGGATGGAAGGCTGAGTCAACCTTGAGCCTGGTGAGATTTGAACTGCCAAATTGCACACAGCCGGTAATCAGCAGAAATAGCCTGTAGTACTGCACTCTAACCACTGCACCACCACAGCTCATAAGAAGGTAACATCTTACCTTATTTACTGAGCCTTTGTTACTTCTATTGTTCCATTAGGTGGAAGCACTGTCGTCAATGAAAGGACTTCCAGTTCAGGCGCATCAAAAAAGTATGCCTACATTAATGGGGAGCAAGAGGGAGATAATCAGAACATCACGAATATCACAATCCAATATATTTGTATAGGTAGTCCTCAATGTATGACCGTTTGCCTAGCGATTATTCAAAGCTACGACAATCCCCAGAAAAGGTATTTGCAATCCGGATTTGAAGTTGTGATTTGAAGCCATCACCCCATAATCACATTTTGGCTATTCAGCAACAGGCCCACATTTATGGACGTGTCTCACACATAGTGATCACGATTTACATCTTTTCCATGTACTTCTGGTTTTTAGCAAAAATGCCCATTGTGGACAATGGATTTACTTAGCAACTATAGCATTCATTTAATGACTACCACAAAAAAGGTTGTAAAATTGGGTACAGTCATGGGATGACCTGCTTCATGAATGGCATGATTTACAGGTGTAATTCCATGCTCAATTACAGTTGTAAATCAAGGACTACCCGTAATGTACATGGACAGGGAACAGTCAACATAGAAATAACAAAGATGACCAAGATAGAAGATGCAGAGTGTCAGATATGGAAAAACAATATAAAACACTATTTATAGTAGATCTATCTGAAAAGTATAGAACAGGTAGTCCTCGACTTACAACCGTTCATTTAGTGACCATTCAAAGTTACAACGGAACTGAAAAAGTGACTTGCCCATTTTTCACACTTATAATCTTTGTAGTCACCCCATGCTCATGTGATCAAAATTCAGATGCTTGGCTACTGATTCATTCTTATGACCATTGCTATTACTAAGGTCATGTGATCATCTTTTGCAACCTTTTGACAAGCAAAATCAATGGGGAAGCCACATTCAACACAGTAACAACCTTGTTACTGTCAACTGCAGCGATTCATTTAACAATCATGGCAAGAAAGGTCATAAAATGGGGCAAAATTCACTTAACAAATGTCTCACTGAACAGCAGAAATTATCGGCTCAATTGTTGTCATAGGTTGAGGACAACCTATAGTAAAGATGACAAAGGATATAAGCCAAAAGTTACTTAGTAATTGAAAACTCGGTTAATTCTCTCTCCAACAGGCCTCCTGGGATTCCCTCCAACAAGTTTCTAGAGCTATTTAAGTAACATTGTACACTTACATGCATATGGATACACACAAATATACAATATATGCTGTAAGTAGCTTGCAAATATTCTGAATGTATTAATTAGACATGTCATTGTCTAATTCTACAACAGCTAATCAAATCTAAATAAAATCAATATTGAAAAATAAAAATGGAATAACTGAAAATAATACTTGACAAGTTGAAAGTTGTCATACCAAACAACCAACAGCCAGTAAGGCATGAAGAAGGACAACTGTCACAATTGTAGCCATTGCGATTCTCCGGTTGTCATCTCTAACGGCAGGCCAAAATGTCATTACTAGAACAGATCCTGAAAGACACAGAGCAAATGCCACCAGAACCCATCGGAGAATTTTCTGTGGAATGATCCATAAAATCTGCAAGAGAAAAGGAAAGAAATAAAGTCCTGGTTTTACTGGCTGCAAAGTAAAACATTTTAATCTGCTATCCCTATCTAAGTCTGCACTACTATTAATCTTCTCATCGTTCCCATCACCCATCTCCAGTGGTGGGTTGCCCCTGGTTCGCACCGGTTCTATAGAACCAGTAGTAAAACTGGCAGGAGGCTCCGCCCACTGACCCCACCGTCATTAGAACGCATCTGCACAGAAGAGCGCATGTGCAGCCCTGTTGCAAACCGGTAGTAAAGGTAAGTAGAACCCACCCCTGCCCATCTTCTTCCACTTATGACTGTATGACTATAACTTTGTTGCTTGGATTCTTACAATTTATATTGATATTGTTTCCTGATTGCTTATTTGTACCCTATGACTATCATTAAGTGTTGTACCTTATGATTCTTGATGAACGTATCTTTTCTTTTATGTACACTGAGAGCATATGCACCAAGACAAATTCCTTGTGTGTCAAATCACACTTGGCCAATAAAAAGAAAAAAACTATCTAGGTACACCATCTCCATCACCTGTGATGGAGAAACCTGCCATACAGTAGTAGTACATTTGTCTCATCACATGACAAGAAACCCTGTGGAATCACATGCAGTCCTGTATCTTTGTCCAGTCAAACACTTGTAGCCTCTCTATCAACACACATTTGTGAGAAGGATGGCTATGGTCTCTGTCACCTTTCAGACATTTTGAAACCTTTCTCCAGCTTGAGGCCCTCCCCAGTAGGTAGGTAGGTAGGGACTGCAATCCCTAGGGTTCTCAGCTGCCATGACTAAATCAAGAAGTAATAGACTAAACAACTGAATTATGTCACCCATCACATAATACAGATCTGTCAGTTAAACTTTGCATGTGGAATATCAAAAACTGGTACTGGTCTATTTAGCTATTCCACATATTGTCACCTGTTCTTCCTAAAATACTTAATTGGACACTACTTACCGCTGTTGGTATATAAATGAAGAGTGAATAGCCATAAACACACACAATCTCAAGAAAGGAGTAGGAGACAATGTTCACAACTTTATTGTTTCTCCACATAAGGAATCCCCAGAGAGCAAGAGGAACTAGCCAAGCATAAGCATAGATGGCTGTCGCAGCTATGGAGACTATAAAGAGATGTATTTTAGGATTATGATTCAAGATTAACAGGCATTTACATCATAACATGTTCGGCTTCATGAACTGCAGAGTAAACTATGCAAGAACCAGTGATATCCCTCCAGAATTTTCTTTAAAACTTATTAATCTAAATGAGGACCTTTACGCTATATACCAAACCTTGGAAAGTGACAGTTTCTCTATCCCATCACTTGGGGGTGGGGGTGGGCGGGAAGGAATCAAGTGTTGAAACCAGTGACTGAAATCATCCCTAAGCCTCTGGCTCATACAATTTAACATTCATACATTTAGAACTCTGTTTTTCAATTCTATTTGCTGCCTTGACTACTCACCGGTGTTGAAAGTAGGCCATGTGTTAAGCAATCAATAATATACTGATCTGCCAAGGAATGTGTGGATTCTGAGAGAGCCTCTTCATGTATCCATTAGAATAGGAAGCTATTTTGGGGACCTCAAGATGTGCATGTATCTTACTCATTTATTGTTCTCTCCTTGCATGTCAATGTGCCAAGCTACACATCTTTTAAAATAGAAACTCCTGGACAAATGAGCAATTCAGGACAGAACTGCTAATTAAAGAATTTAGCAGGACACAAAGTTATGAGTGTATGGCAATATAATTCTGGGCTGAATATCCAACTTGACAAGTTATTTGTTTCTTAATTTATGTGAGGGGTGACTATCACCTTGCTGCTCTTCTCACAAGTAGTGAATCCATCCATTCTGGTTACTGCTGTGGTTTACAAGGTGGACAATGACACAACTGGTTTTTCCTTGCCTGGGATGGATCCAGGAACCATTTGCTCCAGGCTGGTTGAGAATATACATCATGGCACAGTTAGCAGAAGCAGCCAAGCAAATGCATCTTTTTTACTAGTGATTATTCATGTTGGTGAGCTTGGCATCATCTCTTCCTAGACTCCATCCCAGGTTTGGGTCTCTTCACCCTTCAGATGTTTGCGAACTCCTTTCTTGCCTTCTTCTGAAGTCAAAGCTGTACAGATGCTGTACTTCCTGCCTACCCACCTTTCACCTTTCGGCTACCTAGAGCTAGAGGCATTGATTCCAGGGTTTGGCTGCAATGCCAAGCCTCCTGTGGGTGGTTTGCTTGAGCTCAGCATGTCAGGTTTGTTTTCTGTCCTGAATGATGTCTACAGAGTAAGCGATGCTTCTCCTCCCTGTTGGATCATGGCATGGATGCCTTCCTCCTGCCTCCCCTGAGAATCAGAGTTCCTTGCCTGCCTTTCAACATTCTGGCTACAAAGAAATCAGCAACCTTCCTCAAACTGGTTCACCACAATCCCCGCTACCGTACTCTTCCATTGAATAAAAACTGAATAGATACAAACTGTTTTAAATAATTTTACGAACCTTTGCGGAAATCTGGCACGTAATGAAAATCATGTTTACCCAGATGGATGAAGAATTTTGAAAGGTTACCACTAATTGCAACAGCAAAGACTAGCGTGGCACATATCCAAAATGGACCTTAATTGAAACAAAAGCAATTTCCCATTTTAGTTTGATTGGCTTATTTTGTATTCAGCGCAAAAGCGGGAGAAGATCCCTTATTCAAAATTATATTGTTTGCACATACCATAAAGATCAGGATTACTCCGAATGTACAGTCTCACGAAGTTTTTCCCTGGCACTGGAAATACAGAACCTTTGATTCTGTCCAAAACCTGATAATAATTAAAGCAGCATATATCATATGGCTGAAGATAAATAAACTATTTAAATTAAAGAAATACCAAACACATTTTGAATTTAACAAAACCATCTATACATTGCCCCATTGGAAATCAGAATCTTAAGGAAATTAAGTATGGTTTATTCAGTCAGAAATAAACAATGTGCAACATATTGCTTGCATTCATACATCAAGAAACCAAAAGCAAACAAATTACATTATGATTTGGATAATTAAATCCAGCCATTTTCCTTCTAATTTAACAAAAATAAAAAAAAAGCCTTGTTAGTTCCCTTAATCATAGGTTTTGTTTGCAAATAAGCTAACTCGTAAATTGGTACGTGCTTGCTTTGAGCATTTAATGAATTCAGCCATTGTAGTTTTAATGTTAGGTGTAAGCCTGGTCGCTTTGAATTCTGAAAAAAAACACACAGTAAAAATAGTACAATGTGGTGATGGCTATAAGTGAGATAAAACAACGGAGGTCTTTCCCCCTGAGCAGCAAATAAAGGTTTATTAGATCAATACTACGTGCATGGTAAGGTATACCAATCAGTTAGTAACTGATTCAAAGATCAAACAAGACGGAAGGGGTATGCTGAACTACTGTATAGTAGAAATGTCAACATCCAAGATTATTTAGGAAATATCTCTCTCTTGCAAGAACTTCTAGTACTAGAAGAAGTAGTTAGAAGTTAGCTACAGTAACAGGAGTGGGTTCTAAATTTTTTTACTACCGGTTCTGTGGGCGTGGCTTATTTTGTGGGCGTGGCTTGATGGCCATGTGACAATTCTTTAGGATTTAACAGAGGTACTGGTCTACCAGGCTTTTAACTGCTTGTAGAGCTGTACCAGTCTACTCATTTGTTTTTGGAGGCACCGGTCTACCCATTTATTTTTGTAGGCACCGGTCTACTCATTTGTTTTTGCAGGCACCAGTCTACTCATTTGTTTTTGGAGGTACTGGTCTACCCATTTATTTTTGCAGGCACTGGTCTACTCATTGGTTTTTGGAGGCACCAGTCTACCACCACACTGTCTTTTAACACTGATTAGCTGTAGGGCGGCCCTTTGAAGCCCCGAGGCAAGAGTTTAAACAGTTTTTTTCCCAGCCGATCAGCTGGGACTCAGGAGGCAGCAATAGATTGGGGGTGGGGCCAAATAAAAGGTAAGAATAACGGGGGGTGGCGGAACCGGTTCGGTGACATCATATCGTCACCGCTACCGGCTCGGCGGAACCGGGCGGAACCCACCACTGTACAGTAAGTCATGGAATACCCACAGGAATATGGCAAGCAACAGGAGCAGAATCAGTCAAGGTTCTAACCAAGCTATGGCAGCAACTCTGGAAGCCATGCTAAAGAACTACAATCTGTGAAGCAGCCAGCAGATTGGAAGAGGTCAATCTACATTCCAACACTAAAAACAGGTGACTTAATAGAACATGCAAACTATTGTACAATATCCTTAATTTCACAATCGCAGGCAAAGTAGTAGGTCATACAATGCAGACTGGAGCCCTGCACTGAAAAAAGAAATGCCAAATGTTCAAGATGGTTTTTAAAAGGGACAAAAGACATGAAACTTTATGACGGTTGCAGTATCCTGGGGTCATGTGATCATCTTTTGTGACCTTCCGATGAAGAAACTCAATGGGGAAGCCAGATTCACTTAACAACCAGGTTACTCACTTCTTAACTGCAGTGATTCTCTTAATAATTGTCGCAAGAAATGTTGTAAAATGGGGCAAAACTCACTTAACAAATGTCTCATTTAATAACAGAAATTTGGGGGCTCAATTATGGTTGTATGAAGAATAAGAAAAATCTAAAAAAATAATACATGGTCATGAAAAAGTACAAAAATGATATCCACAAAAGTTCTGTCCCAACTATTTAAATTGGCAAAAAGAAGCAATAGATATTTGGAAGGTTTTCAAAAGGAATGGTCATGTATACCTTTTTGTTAAGTCACATATGGACAAGGAAGTAGCAAAATAAATACAGAGCAGGATCTGCTATGCAGGATTGGCTCACGGAAACAAAAAAACCCACCCCTATTTCATTAAAGTAAACACATTATGCACATGTTGCACCATACACATATGTGGAGATGACAAACCTGGTACGTATCCACATCAAAAAATGTCTGATAATATTCAAATGTCCAGAATGGAGCACTTTTCTTCTGCCCAGCAAGCAACTGGAAGATAGGATTTTTAGAAGAAAGTACAGGTTTACTTCTTATTCAAATATATTATTTACACATACAAACAATGTCACTTATGTTAGAAACAGGAACCACTCCGGAGAAAATTGAATTTGACATTTGTGCTGGAAAGCAGAGCTTTCAGGAAAATCTATGCCACATATTCTATGTTAGGGTTACTTACATTGTGTTAATTCTACAAACTCATCTCATTGAAAGCACATGCATGTATTTTTGCCAAGTCTCTTGTCAGAAAGAGAGACAACCTGGCATCAACCTGGCCAAAGCCCAATAATTTAGACCATGCTCTAGTGAACTAAAAGAATATATATGTGTGTATGACTGGGAATGATGAAATAATTTGATTCACAGTTTGACCCAAACCCAGTTTTTACTCATTTCTTCATTCCCAGTCATATGTGCATATATAGTCTTTCCATCTGTAGGCTAGATAGCTGTGAGTTTACTCAACCTATCTCAAAGTTTGTATAGGAGCTCAGATTTAATATCAAAGGCAATCAAGTAGTGTCATTAAATTTCTGCCCATTGACAGGAACAAAAATCCCTTCTAAAGTTCTTGGAGAGAAGATTTATATCCAGTTTGCATTGCTATTAGAAGTGGAAAAAAGCTATGCAGAATATCCTAAAGTTAAAGTTAATCATCTGTTTACATATGAGTGGATCCCCTTAATATTGACTTATTGAACCAGAAACGCAAACCAAGATTGTAACAATGGCAACAGCACCTTTCTATATCAGCACAATGCTAATGAATGATTCAACACAATAACACTATATTAAGGGGAAAAATCCCACATCCCATTAGATGGTTTTGAGCTGCAATTTAAATTTATAGTATATGAATCATCCCAAGACTATTCTAGTGTCTCTCTTTCCTGCAGAGAGTTGTCCTTAATAGTTTCTACCGCATTTTTATACACAATATGTGCAGTGTTTATTAACAATATGAAGAAGAACAGCAGTTGTCGGATAGAATCAGTATGTTTTCATCAAACCTCAGTTTTATCAGAATCATCTGTCCCCAGAAGTTCATCGTCTTCTTCTCTTCCAGATTCATGCAGACGTCCATGTTTTTTCTTTGGTTTTTCAGTAGGTTCATCAATACTTATAGTGACGGCATCTGGATTGGCTGCCAACAAGTTGGCTGCATCGTCAAATTCTGAAAAACAAACATTTCCTGCAAAAGACTTTATTTTTCTTAGTGTTTCCTCTCAAAGCATACAGTTATACGGTATTAACTCTTGCATCATATTCTAAAGTAAATATATTGTCAAATTACCAAGACGTTTGTTTACTCAGTTAAACAAAGCTTTGGATCCGTGCCCTAGAACTGAGTTCATTAGAACTGTTATTTATTAAAAATTATGTTTTTCATTATACTGTATTCTGAAACTGAATATAAAAAGAAGCACCACAAAGCAGAAACCCAACCCGGAGACTTGTAACAAGTAGCAGTTCAACTAACAAACAATACTTACTTAACATCAGGAAGATTTCTGGCGTATTACACCTTCTCAGTTACTTGAGTTAATCTTATTGTATAACTATAACGAATATGCTTTGAATGAAACCAAAGGCCCATCTATTGCATCTCCTGTTTAATTGTAAATTAAATGCCAAAGGAGAAGCTGGCATTAGATTTAAGCAGAATATTTTGTGGAGAAGATAAAAAGAATGAAATAGATATGTCATTTGAATTCCCTGGTGAATTAAAAAAAATTACACCTTGAGATAATTCCCATTAGGAAAGGATAATTGTATTCAGTTCCACAATGATAACACTGCTTGTTAAAAAAATAAGTGGCAGCACCATGCATTATAAATGAGATAGAGATTAAATTTGCAAAGCAAAGCAACGACACAAAACAATGTAAAGGTTTTGGAAACCCCTTTTTGAAATGTACCTTGGAACTTGAAGTCATCCACAGCAGCCATTCATGCAGTTATATCCTTAGTTTGTTAATAGGAATTGAGCAAAATCCTGAAAAATATAAAGAGAACAAATATTGTCTTAGACTGAAAACCATAATTCTATTCTTCATTGTTGAAACTGATTTCCAAAGCTCTTGCAGCTATTCAATGTCATACAAGATTCTCCAGTTCAGTTCAGTTCATCCAGAATACAAATTTGCCACAAGTATTGAGAGGATACATTAACCTACTGGACAGAAATGCCTGCATATAATAGGGGAAAATGCAAATAACTCCAAACCAGTACTTTATAAAAGAAATTATCTCTTCTGTCATCTTCTATTAATATTATTAATTCAGCCAATTTGACTTCAAAAAAATATCTTTATATATCTCAATTTAGCTGGATAAAAAGAAAAAAAAAGTCTGACAGTCAAATTGTACAGAGAAGTCATAATCCAATGTTTACTTGAGATCCCATTATGAGTTGCCTCGGTAAGAGGTAAGAGCTACCAACAATAGTGGAACTCATTGAGTGACTTTGCACTACTCACTCTCTTGTCTTATGGGGGGTGGGGAGAAGGGATGCTGTGTTTACTGGTTTAAGCCTCAGAATGAAAGGGATATTTAGACAGTATGCTGTTTGATTAATGAAGTGATGTTAGTATTAAAAGAAAAATATTGCAGTTGCATAGATATATGTGACTAGAAAGATGATGTGTATAAAATTATTAATATGAAGATTAATTAATATTATGATAGTATAATTATGATTATCATTATTATTAACAATATATGTGTAAGTGATTAAGTCTGTTTCTTTGATTTTTTGAATGCAATTTAAAGAAGCTGTATGGTTATAGTTGAAAGAGATACTAACTGGAAAATACACCATATTCTATAGGTATTGGGTATATTATATCAGGGTGGATAAAAATCAATGATTTTTTTTAAAAAATCAAAAAAATCAGATTTTTTGATTTAAATCGGATTTTTTTGATTTAAATCAGATTTTTTTGATTTTTATCGAATTTATTTTAATAAAAAACTTTTGGGGTAAAAATCTATTGTAAGATAGTTTTCTATTTAAGATACATAAATAATTTAGTTTATTCAGCATGAAATGGAGCTTAGTTATATAGCATGAGGCTATATATTCTGCAACACTGGGACTATCGGTGAGTCAGCAATAGGTCAAAGGAGTAGCAGAGATGACAGTTGCTCTTTAAAAATTATGAAAACAGATGGATAATTTCAGGGTTTTTTTCTTGAGGGTTATACTATTGAAACTATAACAGAAGATAATATGGATGCTAAAGCACATCGGTTTAGATGTTATTGCATACTAGCTAATATTTATATGAAAATTAAAATTTTGTGTAAAAGATAGGAGTAAATAATATGAAATAAGGAAAATGGAATGTAATAATTAGGAATATGTTTATTTGTTTTGAAATGTATGATACTCAAACATCGTGCCATTCACACAATGATATGTATGCATTTAAAAAATAATAAAAAAAACTTGATTTAAAAAAAGAATGAAAGGGATTAAAAATTGGTGAAATTAAAAAAACTTTAATGCAAGGAAAAGAACACTCTGGCTACCATTTAGTCAGAGAAGAAGTGGTGGGAAACTTGCTTTTCCCTCCCTTCTTACAAGGAACTCTTATAGTTGTATTTGGCTAATAAAAAAATCTGTATCTCTAGTAGATGTTGGGGGAAAAAAATCTCATCTTAACTGTATTTGAAGCTCAACAAATTTCTTTCGACTTTCACTTGTATATTCTGGTTATTCCATGAAAAATATGAAGCAAAAGCATTTGCTTTTCCAAGTAAAAGAATTCACTTTATAATTTCCACAGTACTGTACTACATTATACTAGAAAACCTAACAATGCTTAAGGGATTTTGCAGCAGCACTGTGAATCATTTTTGCTGCAGTATGCTTTTTTAAAAAAATCATTTACACAGAAATCTGTATCTGGGTTTCTTTTCTTTCAAGCACACCCTATATTGCTGTCAGGGTCACCCAAGGAGTACAGTACCCTCAAAGAAAACTTATCATCTGGCCAGGTAATCATAAGCACAGGTAACCTCCATCCTCCATCCTTTGCCCATGACTGCAAATTTACAATTAGGAAGAAATTAAAAAAATGCAGCTCAACAGTTAGGAAAATCTGCTTTTAATTAGGATCATTTAAAGAAAAGCAGATAAAGAAGCGCTCTTATGTCGGGGAAAGGGCTTTGATCCAACCACCGTCAATTTCTTGAGCAGAGTTTACAATGCTCATATGTTGACATTCACATCTGACATCTCTTGGGAGTTGGGGGAGGGGGGGGGAAATGGGGTTTCGCTAGCCAAACACGGATTTTATCCTTCTCCCTAAAGACAGGCCGCAATCAGAGTCCTACCCAACCACACCACCAGGCGGCGCCGTCGCTATCTCCTCGGGGCAATACAACGATGGAAGACGCCGAGAACCAACCTGTATTGCCGGAAACAGCAGGCACTAAGTAAACCCCTCCCCCTTCTTCGCTGTCTCTCGCTTTTAAAGAGACAGAAGTAGCTTGTCGCATCTTAACCAATCCACGTTGCTCTACTCCTCCTCCTCCTCCTCCTTCCCCCTCCCTTTAAAGAGACAGCAATCAATTGCAAATACATTTTTTCCCTAGCTTGGTACCCTTAAAATGTGCTCAAATGATGTTCAAATTACAGGAACAGTTTAAATGGTAAAGCTTTTCCGGAGCATAAAGCTTAAAGCCATGGCAGTTTAAGATATAGTTTAATTATAATGTATTTTTGATTTTTAATGTATTTGAATTAATGTATTGAATTGAATGTATTTGATTTGATTTAATGTATTTGATTTATTTTGATTTTTAATGTATTTTAATATGCGTTTAATATGTATTTTAACATGTTTCTTACTTGGATTGGGATTGCATATCTTAATTGTTGTGAGCCACCCTGAGTCCTATGGAGCTAGGGCGGCATATAAATCTAATTAAAATAAAATAAAATAAATAAATAAATATAGTGCAGGGGTCCCAAACTTGGAAGCTTTAAGACTTGTGGATTTCAACACCCAGTATTCTCCAACCGACTCCAATTCTGGGAGTTGAAATCCACAAGTCTTAAAGCAGCCAAGTTTGAAGACATCTGCTATAGTGGATATGTTAACCTTTCAGATAGCAGAGTCACCTTAAAGAAAGAAAGAAAGAAAGAAAGAAAGAAAGAAAGAAAGAAAGAAAGAAAGAAAGAAACACACCAGAAAATCCATTTCCTGAATTGGCTATGACGGTGTCAGCAGGTAGTTGACCGTGGGTGCTCTTAGGAGTTTAAGCAGAGTTGGATTTGAGTAGAATTTGGATAGGAGACCACTCGGCAATCCCAGAACCGTCAATCAGACCCGTGTTCCTCAACCTCAACAACTTTTAAGATCTTTGGACTTGCTGGCTGGCTGGGAAATTCTTGGGAGCTGAAATCCAAATATCTTAAAAGTTGCTGGGATTGAGAAATGCTGAGCTAAACTGGGAAATCGAAAAGCATCTTGGCAAAAGGTGATAGCAAATCACTTCCATACCGTTGCCAAAACATTCTGCATGAATATAACTGAGAAGTGACCAAGAGAAAATCTCGGAGATTTCATTTCCTTTACTTATATAATAGGCCTGTGAATTCCGGCTAGGAAGCAAACCCGATTTACCTGTAGCGGCTCTTCTGTACTAAACATGAGCTGCAGCAATATTCAGATACTGCAACTTTTCTAAGATCTTCCAATAAACAATTAGTCAAAGATGCAAATATCTTTTGCATTCTCCCATGAGAGCCAAAAGATGTATAGTCAATGCTTTTAAACGTCCGACTTCGAAAGGGAAAAACTCAGGAATTCTATATAGAGGTTATTGGTCCAGTTTTGTAAAATGCGATTTTCATTTTTTTCCCCCCCACTCACTTTTTTAGCTGCTTTGATGGGATTCCGGCTTTAAAGACGTTTTTCCCCCCCGCTACTGTGATATGATCTCGGCTTTCTTTCCTTTTCCTTCTCGTCCCGTTCTCCACTTTTGCAGATGTTCCGAAAGGGATTCGTGGATTAGACATTCGATCACGCGGAGGAAAAAAAAATCGAGTTTCACTAAAAAAAATATATTTATATAAAAGACCCAAATCTGAAGGCGAAACGGAAACCCCTTTTCTGTCTCTTTTTGTTTTTGCTGATGGTTTTTTTCCCCCCCCCCACCACCAAGAACGGCGTTACGATGGGCGTGTTTAAAAAACGTCACTGAAGCTATTGCCCCACTGCTGGCAGGAGAGCGGTGGTTGCTGGGAGTACATCCGGGAACCTATACCGTTCACTGCCTTTTTGCACGATGGGAGATGTTTCAACGCGGGAACAGCTCAGTGTATGTATAATTCCACGCTCGTATTAAACGCGCCTAAAGACTAAGCGTGCACGCCGGTTATCGACATATTCGTGACTGCGATGAATAAATGATTCGTAATACAAAAGTGTGTAAAGGATACTTGCTTTCTCGCACGAGAATCTGGAATTACTATATGCATTTTGGGGGATTCATGTCAACATGCGCCTGCAAATGACTCAACATAGATATGAAAGTATAAAGATGCCACGCTTTTTAAAATATTAATTTTCTATTTTTTTTTCCCTCCATGAAAAATCCTGAAATTGCCACTGGCAGATCTTTTGCTTTTAACGAAGAAAGGAGCCGTAATGCTGTCAGCAGGTTTCAGTGGCTGGATTCGCAGTGGGAAGCTAAGCCATAAGGCAGTTGTTTTGCATGTAAACATGTGCAAATCCACAAAATTACGCAAAATTGTGTAAATCACAATTTTGTAAATTGTGATTTACAAAATATGGCTTCATATTCTTTTGTGAAGGCAGCATTGTCTTTCATTCAACAACTAAAATAAACCATAACTTTATCACTAAGTTTATGTATGAAACCAACCAGTATGTTAGATCCTGAAGCTTTTTTTTTTGTAATCTTGTCAGGAGATGGGGATAGACTAATGAAATTTTGCTGAATTGCTAGTACTGGAAGATTTCTCTTTTTAGGGAATTGAGCATGGGAAATGGAGATTCTGCTGCTCATAACTTTAAAAGGAAAATAACTTGTAGTCTTTCCCAATCTAGTGCCACCCAGATGTTTTGGAATTACAACTTTCAGAAGTCCCATTCAATCTTTGGCAAAGTTGGTTGAGAATCATAGAAATACTAACATATCTGAAAAACAGGAAGTTGGGAATCTGAAGGCTAAGGATTGTGGCATATTTAATTATATTTTTATCCCATTCATACTCAATAAGGCCAACACTGCATTTGCATGCTTTATATCAGTATGCAATAATTGTTCAGTTCTGCAACTGAAAAAGCTTATCTCTAATAAGATAATTAAAATATCCTCCAAAATAATCCCAAAGTAAATTACACACACATAAAGGGCATCAATGATCAGGCTAGCTAGCAGGTCAGGAAGAGAAAGAGTTAAATGTAACCAGTCTCAATAAAAGTGATGGACTGAGCCCTCTTTCCCCATCCTTTTCATTATAGTAGATAGTGCTTTTAAATAAAATGCTATCCAAATGTGTTATATCTGTTTTAGATACAACTGGTCTGGTTTTCCTATGGTGGACAAATACAGATCTTTTGTGGATTGACAACTGTACATGCCTTTGAGAACTGCTTAGACCCATGATGGCGAACCTATGGCACGTGTGCCACAGGTGGCACATGGAGACATATCTTTGGGCACCCAAGCATTTCCTTAGCTCAGCTCCAGCACGCATGTGCGCGCTGGCCAGCTGATTTTCGGGCCTTCCAGTCCCACCGGAAGTTGGGAAACACACCATTTCCGGCCTCCAGAGGGCCTCCGGGGGGGATGGGGAAGGCCATTTTTACCCATCCCAGACTCCAAGAAAGCTCTAGAGCCTGGGGAGGGCAAAAAATGGGCCTGCTGGGCCATCACGTGCCAAAAGCGGAGGGAGCATGGGGGGGTTGCACATGCATGCACAGGGGGGCGGGGTGCACACGTGTGCGTTATCTCCCCACGCTCCCCACGCTTTTGGCACGTGACAGCAAAAAGGTTAGCCATCACTGGCTTAGACAATAACCCCATGTGCTAACAAAGTTTACCCGAATTTGAATTGTAAACATTCAGCTGTCTGAATGGAGCTTTAGAATCAGAACCAGAATTTTTCATAACTCTTTCCTGTGTGCTTCACTCTGCCTATCTAGATTCAGAGATCACTTACTTCCAAGATTGAAATTTTATTATTATAAAAGTGCCCTCTTTCCCACATCCTCTGGATGATTTTAGTGAATTTGCCACTTGTAATGTATTTTATTTTAACGTTCGTGCACCATACTGCATCTAGTTTTATATGAAACAAAGGTTTTTAATGGAGTAACCTGAGGGGCCCCCTTATTTGCTGGCCCCTTGGCCAGTAAACTTATACTATTTTGCAAATTCCCCCAAATAAGACATCCCCTGATAATAAGCCCAATCAGGCTTTTGAGCGCATGGCAATAAGGCCAAGCGCTTATTTCAGAGTTCAAAAAAAATATAAGACAGGGTTTTATTTTCAGGGAAACACGGTAGATGAGTTTTTTTAAAAAAAAACTAAAGAAAGAAATGATTACGCTGAAATTGCCCTATTTTTCCCTGTTTCTGCCTCCAATTCCCATTCCTGGATGCTAGAGGAATGGGATTAGGTTAATTTCAAATTAACCCCTTGTTCTGGTGACCTATAATAATCTCAAATTAAAAACTATTTAAGTTATTCCACTGTGATCTCAGTTTGGATTTAAGTGACATATTTTATATGAAACAGTATATTTGGCCATATGTGGCCAGAATTTTTATTTTTAAACATCATGTTTATCTTTCTGCAACTATCAGAATTATAAATGTTTGATCTAAAGTTATTTGGGAATTTGTGTGTTGATTTATGGAAACAAAGTGCATTTTCCCCACCCTAGATCTTAAGATGGAGAGCAGCAGCAAGCATTGCTTGGTCTGTGCTATTGCTTCCTCTGTGTGTGGCAGTGTTCATCAGCATTACCAGTATTGACCTCTTCCATCCTGTTCAGTGGATCACAGGTATGTACAAAATGTACCCAATGTTGGATAATTGTGCTGCAGAATAATACTGCTGCATAGTACTTTGTTGTATTTTAATCACACTGCTTTGTACTTATTATGTTGATAACGCTTATGCAACATTTCAGATTGTCACATCTCTGATCATGGTTTATAATGGTTTAGTTAATTAAAAAAGCCATCTGACAAAATCTTGTCAACTTAAAAGAAACTGCCAGAATAATTTAGTTGCCTTTCGCCAGCTCTTAGCTTTTACTAAAGTTAGATAAAAACTAAGATACGGGGAAAGACAGCTAAAATTTTCTCCTGCATGCGTGGATTGTACATGCAACCGTGGACAGTGAGTTGAGAATTTTGCTAGAAACTATGGAATCTCTGGTGCTCTCTGAGCTTGGTTGTTTTCTTATAGACATTTCATTATCCAACTAGGTAATATCTTCAGTACAGAAACTCTTAGGGCATTATTCAGACTTATAGGTCCTAAACTGTTGTTCCAGTTACAGCTGCTTTATAGTCCTTTCTCAAAAAGAATTCACTTTTTCTGTTCCAGATTCTTTCAATGATTTGTATACATCCTATGTGATCTTTTGCCTACTACTGCTGTCTGCGGTGATACTGGTAATAAATGTCTTCAATGTTCAGTTTCACGCAGGTGAGTACTGAAAGCCATATCGAATAAGATGCACCGCCTGGCCCTGACCAGTGTCTTAAATATATCTGTACTTTTAAGCTTCATTTTGGGGTCTCTCTTATTCTATAATCCAAAGAGAAATTGAGTTATTCTCCTAATTGTTCCTTGAATCATCAGTATCTAAGAATTCTCACAAAGCTGGCCTTTGTCATTGAAAAACTTCTCTGAAGGTGATTTGATGGGCAGGATGGTTTGAATATGAATACCTTTCATATTAAGAGCTATCTAATATTAAAATAAATGGTGGTGGTTGGAATGCCGTAGTTTGGAACATGATGCAATAGGAGGGAAACCTAAGGGAGTGGTTTAAGGAGGAGATGGTTAATGTTGTTTTCTTTACTTTGCAGTTGTACCTTCTATTCACTGCTCCCGATTAGCCCTAATAAGCAAGATTATCCACCCGCAGCAGGTGATCCATTCAATTGCCCATGCTGTGATGGGAATGCTGGTGGCTTGGTGTGCTGCAGTTATGACCAAGGGGAAGTTCCTCTTTTTGTCCATGCCCTGCACAGCTACCACTACAGAAAGGTATAATCCCGAAGCTTTCCGTTTATACATAACATGTAAAAATGAATAAAAAGAGCATTACCAAAAATTTTAAAATACTGTTTACACACCTTGGCTCGTTCAGGGATCTTCTCCGGTCAGTTCTCTGATCTTTGTGTGCCAGCAGCAGACAAGCCGTAGTAGATGGCATAGCAGGCTGGTGGGTGTGTTTGTAATCTTTCCTCTGCAAATAGAGAATGCAGGTTTTGGTTTTGGACATCATGTTTTTTGCCTTAATGACTTAGTTATTCGTGTATGTTGTACAAACAAGGCCAATCTTTTTCTCCCCCTCCCCCTCCATTTCAAGTGTGGAAATCACGCAAATAATTTTGTTCAGACCAATTTCTTCTTTAGGATTAAATTATTGTAAGAAGTCATTGGCAGCAATAAGCAGAAATATTTTCTTTGGGCTACCTTTGAGTAGAAGTTACGTTGAGTTTCTTGCTTCTGAGACATTAATCATTGAGAAAAAAAACCATTTTCACTGCAGCTAATTACAGTCCTGTAACATTTGTACATCCCTGTAGGATAGTGCTAAGACACTTGTGCTATGGGAAAGAACTCGCGTGAAATTTTGCTGTTTTGTTTTTAAAATAAGGGGAATTAGTTTACAAAAAAGAGGATTCCTACCCCTTCCAAAAGTACCAAATCATCTTGTATTTAAATCAACCTTCTCCATTCTCATGATCTCCAGATGATTTTGAACTTTATCGAATGGAAATTCCTGGAGTTCTGATCTCAGCATATCTGGAAGTTCGCAACATTCCAAATAGAACTTTTATAAAAAGTGCAAAATCAGATACTATATTTTTGAAAGTGAAGCAAAGAATAAAATTCTGCGTGACTGCATGCAAAAAAACTAAAATTGCTGTTTTGCTGCAGTGCTGCTG